TGTGTCTATATATCGTACTCACAATTGCTAAATGCCATTCAAAGACTCTCTTCTTCATAGCTGTCCAATTTGCATGAGACCTGGTTAACAAGCGTCAACTTCTAGTACCATACAAAATAGTACAATTGTGTGAGTGAGAGTAAACGAAGTACTGTTTCCGTACTGTACCTTTGTTGTATCAATAAGTAAATTTGGTTCGCATCGTGTGTGGTGGTGGTGGTGGTGATGATGGTAGGGGAAAAGTTAACGTTCGCTTCGAGCTAACTGTAGATTAGGTAGTTGGTGGATCCGTAGCTCGTGTTTATGATTCTTCCTTTACCAGTTGGTCTCTTGTTGGTCGATTTGAGCTCTCTCTGATCATACTATTGATTCATTTATGATATACTACATTGTAAATTGCAAGCGATGAGGGAAATAGTGAAAATTGACCATTGTTAAAGGAGACTGCTTCAAGAACGACTAAGCTGTATGGTGATCCTTGAAGCATATCTGACTGTGGTATTTCTTTAAGTACAAGAAAGTAAGGAAAAAATAGAGATTAGAATTTTTGAATTTTTCTATTTTGAATGTGATTGATAGGTGGATAATTTACCTGTATCACATTGCCTCCAACATTGTAATTTGTACCTTACATTTTCTTAACAAGTGATAAGTTGACTGGAGAAAAATACACGTTACAAATTTACACCATTATTCTGTGGTTGGCAACTTTTAATCAAACTTCAACTTATTTATTTACTAGTGATGTAAGAAAATAGACGAACAAAGAAACTTAGTAGGCAGTCACAGCCTGGAGGGGTAGATGTTTCTTATTTTCCTTACTTTGAAACAAGTTGATACAATCATCTTACTTGATTAGATAATTTACCAGAATTTTGAGACAGTAACACGATACATTATCATCAACCTAACCATAATGCATAGACAAGATAATTTGGACGCCCATTAGTTTTAATGATATCGTCTCACAAAAATAAACCTCGAATCCTGAACCTCATATCTATATAGTACATATAGTAATAACTATAACATTCACAGTCTCTTCCAGATAGCGACCTTTGATGCGCAAAAAAACCCAAAATAATTAAATAATACGTCCATATTTTGCTCCTTTTGTGTACTAAGGAGAAAATCCTGCCATGACAGCCTTCACTTTGTCGATTTCAAACTGTAGAAGGATTTTGAATGGGCAAACCTGTAGGAGACACGAAGACTCGGATAAGTAGCACAAACGACCGATAAAACTTTGTTAATCACTAAATATATTTTTCAAGGGAAATACGTTTCAAAAATAACTTTTTGAATGATTTATTTTTGGGAGGAATAGATTTGGAAGAACTCTTCTAGGTAGGAATGATCTAACTTAGGTTGAGAAGAACTGTTATGTGATGCTTGTAATTTTACATGTTTATACGTTGCTTGGTTGAATATATTCTTGTTGTACTTTAGTTCATTGAAAACAAAATCATCATGGTGTAGTCCTCTGATATGAAACTTAATCAGTGCCAGAATAATTCCACCAGTTTACACCATATGCACTTGGTGACAGCAAAAGTTGATGTCATATGACCTTGCCATTTTACAGGAAAAGCTGAAATGTTGATTTTAATTATACACTGAAAAGGTGTCATATGTACTTGCCATTTTACAGTATAAACTGAAATGGTATAAAATGCACTTTTTATTTTACAGCAACAACTGAAAAGATGCCCGGTAATATGCG